AAAAAAAAAAAAAAAAAAAGTACAAGAAAATATATGGCCATTGTTACATCCTTTCCTTCTAGCAGAATGGCCGAGTGAGCAGGGTTTTCAGATGGATATGAGTGTTGACTGAGTATCTTTATGGTGCAGGGTCTATGAATTATCTCGTATACGTGGACCCTTAATAGGAACACATGAGGAATCCTGATCCAGTGAGCCCAGTGCAGCACAGTTTATCATTGTTTCTTTTGGTCCAGTATCTGAGATGCTGTGTTAAGTGTGATGTGGGAAAGGTGGGATGTATAGAGAGATTGTCCCCAATAGTGGAAGCTGAAAAACATCTGAGAATATCTGAAGCAGAAGCCACAAGTGGGGTACCCTCTTTGCCAAGGCTTCATTAGAAAGAATTCCTGGGTTTCAGGTTAACTGGTTCTCCTATAAAGAGCTCACATAGTCTTTTCCAAAAGACTGTGGACATCAAGTTTCTATGGTTCTTACTCGAGGGTTTTTCTAAATTCTCAATATTGCATTTCTGAATTTTTTGATGAGTAAGTAAATCCATCTGTCTCTATGCCCTTTCTTTTTAAACCTAATAACCCTGTCCCTGTTTCCTCTTTTCTTCCTCTATTTCTGTTTCTTTGATGTCATCCCCAGTATGAGCTGGTGTCCCTCTGGTGTGCAGTACTCTGCTGTCCTGAGTGCTGACTTTAATTACAGAAGGTATGGTATGGTTATGTGTCCTGCCACCGAATGGGGAAGCATAAAGTTTGGCATCTGGGCTTTTGGCTTGGAGCTGGCTTCTGTGTGGCTGGGGTGCATCTGGGCAGCTGCTTTGTCCGTGACACTGTGTTGCGTTGTCTCCGCTATGGGTTTTGCTCACCCAATGGAGGGCTGCAGCCCAGAAGTTGGACAGAGAGCCCAGGACATCCTGTTTGTCTCGGGGCTGTAGAGGTAGTGTTTTCTACAGATTCATGTCTGTGGGGTGGTACACTACTTCTCCCTGTTTTGATCCCCAGATCCTCAGAAGCAAAGCAGCTGATGAGGTATACTGGTTTCTGTTATGCTTCCTAATCCACAGTTCTCTGTAGATTCCAAATTCAGAGACGCCTCATCGTTTCATATTCTCTCACCTAAGTAGCCAGATTTAATTACTGAAGCATTTTCAGGATTAAGTTTTTGCCATAAGCGTAGCAAAAACTTTCTCAGGCTTTTTAAATAATTCACAATAGAGGCTCGGCGCCTATAGCTCAACCGGCTAAGGCGCCAGCCACGTACACGTAAGGTGGCAGGTTCGAATCCCCAGCCCGGACCTGCCAAACAACGACGGCTGCAACCAAAAAATAGCCGGGCGTTGTGGCGGGCACCTGTGGTCCTAGCTACTTGGGAGGCTGAGGCAGGAGACTCGCTTGAGCCCAGGAGTTGGAGGTTGCTGTGAGCTGTAATGTTACGGCACTCTACCCAGGGGGACAGCTTGAGGCTCTGTCTCAAAAAAAAAAAAAATAATAATAATAATTCACAATAGAAAACTGAATTTCTTCTTCACTTAGCCTCTCTTCTTGTCCCTAGCATTAGAAGTGACTTTTACAGAGAGGTTTACTTGTACTTAGTCTTGATTTCTGTTGCCATATTGAAATAAGAAAAATCCATTGTTTACCCACTAGAAAAAATAGAGACATATTCATAATAAGTGATTTACAAAAAACAAAAAAAGCAAATATAAGCCCTTCTGGACTGGTGTGTATGAACTTAATTGTAGCAGTTATCTGTACTGTTTTTCCTGGGCAGTATACCCTCACGTTCATTTCCAGTTGGTTGTTAACATGGTCAGCTTCAGCTGAAATGGTGCTTATTTTTAAGAAGTTACCACTCTCTGCAGCTGTAACAGATGTGAATTATTCTGGTTAGCAACCCCAAGGAGGATATATCACTAACCTCTCTCAGTTGCCTCCTGCTTGTAGAAAATGCTTTTACCACTATATGCCACACAATCTTTGTCTCTGGAATCCCACTTAAAATTCTCAACCCTGTTTGGTTTTTTTTTTCCCTTTACTGATTTCCAGCTAAAAAGTTACAGCTCTTAGCCTTAATAGCTTTTCAGCTTTGTGAGTGTTACATGTGCCTGTCTGCAACTAGCAATTCTCTGGAAGCCTGTCCGCAGTTGTTGTTTGGCCAGGTGTGCATAGCTGGTAAGGCTCCTGGGTGAAGTGTGGGCTTTCTGGGGTGGGAGCACACCTGTACAGTCACAAAGGTCAGCTAGCGTGTAGTTGAATGCAGAGTTAGGTCCATTTAAGGGACATAAAGGCAAGTCACCCAGTTTACCTTCTGAAAGTAGCTTAAGCTCATATTTTTCTCCGGGATGTTTAATTAAAAGCATTAGCAGATTTAGAGTTTGGTAAAGATTAATTATGTTAGATCAAGGAAAAGCACATATGAAAGATCAATAATATAAGTATGATCTATCCATATGGTATATTGAAGAACATGGTCTTAGCTGGTTCAATGCTTGGATGAATAGAACAAGGTAAGAAAACCTAAGTGTGGTGTTCTCTCTCAGCATTCAGGCTCTGTGGGTGAGAGTTTTGCTAATTGACGTACAGGTAACATATGAGCAAGAGAGAGAGCAAGTTAAAGGGGATTTTATCCCTGTGTCCAAAAATAGCATGAATTAACTCTTTGTGACCTGTGTTCAGTTTCAGTCTAGAAGGCTTGATAGGAGGAGCTGGTGTCGAAAACAAGCCATCTTCGTCTCTGGAGGGAAACTCTGCCAACTCCCAGGAGCTCAGATACCCTTTCAGTGGTGAGGAACGGGGTGATTCTTTGGTATCACTCTCAGAAGAGGATCTAGAGTCAGGCCAGAGAGAACATAGAAGGTTTGATCAGGTAAGGCTGAAATATTGCTAATTCAGAAAAAATTATTTTATAATTTTTTATAAAATAAAAAAATTTTATTTCCCAAACTGTAATCTCATATTAGGAAGATAGAAGGTACAACTTCTGATAGTGTGGGGCTAATAGTTATGATTACTTATTTATTATATAATATACTTAATCGAGCACTAAAGCAAGATTTTAGTGCTTAATATTAAAGAATACCATTAATTTGCATAGATTTCAGTGATCCATCAAAGCAACTTAAGAATTAGGAACTTATCCAGGACAGTAAATTGCATTTTTCTTTCTTGTCAGATGTCACCTTTTACCACCTCAATAGTACAGTGAGTCTCAAAGTGTTTTATATATCATCATTCAATTTTTTAGTTCTCTAAAACATATCCTAAGTTTCTGCTTCCTCGAAGGGGAAAAGTATACCCTCCTACCACACTATCCTGGAGATGATTTTTGTGGTCTCTACTGACTGTCCCTGCCAGAATCCCTGAGAGAGCACCTGTGCCCCCACCTTCTCTTTTTCACTACCTCATCAGCTCTTAATGTGCGTTGTTCCCGTACTCTGAAATCTCAAATCTCCTGTCTTGGAGGCCAAGGCCGCCTTCCCTATTGGCCAAACCAACCAAGTGACAGATGACTTTTTTTTTTTTTTTAAGTTTCTCTTTGTCATCCCTGATAGAGTGCTGTGGCATCATAGCTCACAGCAACCTCAAACTTTTGAGCTCAGCCTCCTAAGCAGCTAAGACTATGGGCGCCTGCTACACCACCTGGCTATTTTTAGAGATGGGGTCTTGCTCTTGCTCAGGCTGGTCTTGAACTTCTAAGCTCAAGCAATCCACCCATCTTGGCCTCCCAGAGTGCTAGGACTACAGGCAAGAGCCACCACACCAAATGAATTTTTTGTTTTGTTTTGTTTTTTAAGATGAGTGCCACTGTGTTGCTCTCAGTAGAGTGCCTTGACGTCATAGCTCACAGCAACCTTGAACTCTTGGGCTTAAGGGATTTTCTTACCTCACCTTCCTAAGTAGCTAGGACTATAGGTCCCAGCCACAATGCCCGGCTATTTTTTGTTATAGTTGTCATTGTTGTTTAGCAGGCCTGGGCCGGGTTCGAACCTGACAGCCTGGGTGTGTGTGGCTGATGCCCTAACCACTGACCTATGGGCACCAAGCCACCAAGTGAATTCTTAGTTGTCATTTTCTTAGATTCCCTCATCATCACCTCCCAATCTCTGACAGTCCCTTGCTTGGGGGAGTTTCGGAGTTGAGAATTTGAATTATGTACTTTTACAGTGTTCTGCCGTACTCCCTCTCTCCCTTTCCTTCTCTCAGGCCAGGAGGCTTTGGATTAATTTCTGAAGGGATTCAAGGATACATCTTAGTTCTTCCACATGAGATATTTATAATTAAAAAAAATAAAAACATTTGTTTTTGAATAGATGACTGGCATTTAAGGTAGAAATTTAATGAAACATTTCTGATTAAACAATGCTTATAACAACCTATTCTTTGATTTGGGGGCTGGAGTTTTGTGTGGAAATTTTTTATTGCATCCTACTAACTAGTAACCAAATAAAAATTTGGCACAGAAGGATTACCTTAGTAATAAAATGTATCACTTAATGCATGTGTGAAGCCTAATGAATAGAAGTTTAGGCCTAATGAAAAGCAAACTGAAGATCTGAAAATTTTGCTACTTTTGAAAAAATTTCTACTTGGTCTGATACTTTAGAAAAAATTGGAAAAAATAAGAATAGTATAGAGAATATCCTTATTATTGAAGCAAGTAACTTAGATTTATTCAGTGTAATGGTGGCAGGAAAAGGAAGGTAAAAGCAGGAACAATTCTTTGACGGCTACTGAGCACAGCTTTGCTGAGGGTAAATAATCTATGGAAAACCTGAAAAATAAATGGCATTTAAATTTATAGAATCTTTTAAGTATCATTTGCAGGGCCAGGTAAAATACCAAAGTTGTGGGCTTGTGAACAGAATCCTGCCTATATATTACAAGTTCAGCACAAGCCCTTACCCTACAAGAACTTAAAGCCCGTTTAAGTGACTTCCCTGAGGCCACATAACTGGCTTTTAGCTGAACAGTCCAGAACACAGTTCTTGGCTGTTAGTCTCACTGCTTCTTTCCACATCTTTGAGGTTAGATGAGTTTTAATGAGGAAATGAGGACCTTTTAATTTCCTTAATTTTGTTTCTGTGATACCTTTTCTGAAACTGTTTCCAGGAGTTTGACAGGTACCTTTGTATTACAGTAAGTGATGTTATTTACCACTGATGTCTTTCTGGTATGGACCTTCTGACTTAGTCTTTCTAGTTAAAGTTGTCAATGTTTTAATCCCTTGCTGTGCTTAGCCTTCCTGGAACTCCCTGCCCTATCTATTGTCTTTATCTTGTGTGCAAGCCCACAGTGGGTATTTGAGCTGCTTGCTTCTGTCTGATTTGGACAAGTTGCCTGCAGCCAACTTCCTGTTGAAAGTCTCTGCCTTTCACTGAGGTCATTTTTCCAACCTCACAGTTGTATTTGAAACATAGCAACTGTTTGCCTTGGATTCCATGGTTACACATGGAATAAGCTCTAAATAACCAGAAGTCTTTGGCTCAGTTGAGACAAGCTCATGCTAGTATTAGATTTTCATCGCTCTCCTTGCGACATGTGTGAGCCATAAGGAGAGACATTTTATTCTCCCGTGTGGGGAAGGGATTAGTGGTGATTGCAGTTAGTTAACAGTTGGATTGGGCCCTCAAGGGAAGGGAGCCCTCATCTCCAGAAGTGTGATAGCAGACTGTAGGTGACTCTCTTTAGGAATAGCAGGAACTTCTGCAGTGGATTGGACTACATGGCCTTGAAGCCTCTATGAGTTTACTGAGGGATTTAAATTATCAAATTTCAGTCACCCCCATGTTCATATGGAATCAGTCTAATTATAGAAGAGGAAATGAAAGAGACTTTAGTTTCTTTCCAGATGCACTCCTGTTCTGCTGTGAGCTTGAAACACTTTTTACTTGTATCTTAGTTTCCAACTCTTTAAAATCAGAATAACATTGCTGATATCCAGAATAACATTGCTTTATATCTCTATAAAGAATATTTAGATTTTCAAAGAACAAATACTATATGTAGTTTGATATTTATGGGGAAATTATTTTTCATTTGTTTTAAGAGATGGGGGTCTCCCTGTGTTGGCCAGGCTAGAGTACAGTAGCAGTGTAGGCTGGTCACAAGTGCATTCATAGCACCCTGCAGCCTTGAACTTGTGGCTTCAAGTGATTCTCCTGCCTTAACCTCCAAAGTTATCCCAATTATATACCCAGTAGATATTTATTAAATACTTCTTAATTTTGAAACATTGTTAAATGCCAGGAGGGATACAAAACCACTATAAAGGATGGGTACTTGAATCATGCCCATTTTACAGAAGAGAAAACTAAGGCTCAGAAAAGCTAAGTAAACTACTCTGAGATTAGGAGCGAGTAAGTGGCAGGGGCAGGCTTGAATCCAAGTGTGTCTATGAAACCTGCCCTTAACCTCCTTCTGTACTCCCTTATTTCACTGAGTTGCATCCGAATGTGTAGTTTTGTGCTTATCTAGAAATGTAAGAGCATGTACTTAGACCCTGTTCTCTACTTTGTTATTTCACAGACATGTCACAGATCTAAGCAGCAGGGTTTTAATTACTGTACATCAGCCATTTCTTCTCCATTGACAAAATCCATCTCATTAATGGCAATCAGCCATCCTGGATTGGACAGTGAGTATACTGCTAATTTAAATACATTACAACTTAACTACTTTTTCTATGTTTTTTTTTTTCACTTTCAGGTCCTATAACATTTCCACAATTTCTTCTCAATGGCTCAGCACTTAAATAGAAAAGGTGACATAGCTGAACTGCTTTGAATACTTTTACTACCTAAAACACTCCTTAATACATTGAATTTATTATGTTTTGGGGCATAAACAATATTCTGGGGTTTTTTGTGTGTGTGTGTGTTCTTTTTTTGGAGACTGAGTCTCTCTTTGTTGCCCTCGATAGAGTGCCCTCTTATTATAGCTTGCAACAACCTCTAACTCCTGGGCTCAAGCAATCCTCTTGCCTCAGCCTCCCGAGTAGCTGGGACTAGTGGAGAAACTGGGCAGAGTAACTGGCCTGAGTCTTCAAAAACGTCAAGCTCAAGAAAGAGCAAGACTGAGATACATTTCAGACAGTTCAGTAAGCCTCAGTAGGATTACATCTGAAAGTGATTACCAAACAGGACTGTGTGCATATTGGCTGTGACAATTATCTAGAGATACTGTAGCAGCCATAAGCACAGGATGTTTGCCAATAACAGATACTCAGAAACATTTGAATTGGATAAATAGTTGCCACACAAAAAGCAACTTGTTCTTTGGGAAACCCCTCCTTTTTTTATTTTTAAAATACTGATTCTTTTAGTAATTGCATTGTGAGATCGTAATATAAAAATTAAAATCTGATCATAAAGGAAATGTGATACATCACATTTTTTGCTGAAAGATCATGTATTTGGAATGCCAATGCCAGAAATAAGCTGTTCTGGTGTTTCTGGGGTCTCTGCAGTGTCCCCTGTTGTAATTCAGCTCCAACTTGGTGACAGATAATTTTTTGTTCCTTTCCTATGATTAATGTTTCTAATACCAATCTGGTCTGTTGGACAAAGCCTAATGATCTGTTTTCAAAGGTACAGATATGACCTCACAGAAGCATGACAAATTGTTTTTCTTGTTTTTGCTGGTTTTGATTCTGATTTTTTTATTTGGCTTTGGGTTAGAGGTTTGGCTGGTGTAGAATGGAAATTATAACAAAATAGTTTATGGTGGATTTGATGACCAAAAAAAATCCACTGAGTAGTCAGTGAATGCCAGGAAGACTCTCTAAGTGAGACATCCATGTACCTGCCTTCCATGACTAGCAAGTGTGGCAAAGTGAATATTCTGCTCTGTAGCAGCAGATACCCTGTGCCAAGAGCGTGTGTCTCATGGAGTGATCTTTTTCCTGTATTATGTGACATATTCTCTTTCCCTGTGGATAAAATACTTTGTTGTTGTTCCTCCAAAAAGCAAGATAGTTTTTTAATGTATTTTCGCTTGCTAGCTATGCACTATATATAGGGTGGCCATAAAGTTCGTGTGCTATTTAAACTTTATGTGCACCCTGTATAATGTAGGTAACTCTCAGAAAACCGTATTCTAGACATTCTGGCACATAGAGCTTTTCTTCTTACTACTGGGAATTTTTCTGCTTACCTTAGCAGCGGACCTGATAATCAGTATAGACTATTGTCAAGAACAAAGCTTTGGCCAAGAGCAGTGGCTCACACTGGGTGGCCAAGGCAGGTGTGAATTGCTTGAGCTCAGGAGTTTCTGACCAGCCTGAGCAAGAGCAAGATCCCATCTCTACTAAAAATAGAAAAACTAACCAGGTATGGTGATGGGCACCTATTATATAGTCCCAGTTACCAAGAGTTTGAGGTTGCTATGAGCTGTGATGCCACAACGCTCTACCCAGGGCAAGAAAGTGAGACTCTGTTTCAAAAAAAATTAGAACGCACATTACATTGGTATCTTTTGCACAAAACTATCACTGTCTAAAAACCCGAGGTACATGTATTTTTACCAGCATTTCTTTGATCTCTGTTGATTGTAGTAGCCGTAGATAGCAGTCTGGTATCACTTAGCATTTATCTGGGGCATGGAGGGGCTTTCTTATTGGGTAGGTACAGGGCTTTTTTTTCTCATTTTATTTAGGACATTGAGATTCCAGAAAACCTTATTAAGGGAAATTTATTAATTTGTTTATCCAATAAATATTTGAGTATAATTGGTGCTAAGAAACTCTTTGCCATGCACCGAGGCAGACAGTGGTGTAAGAGGCATAAACTTACCAGATATGGTTCCTGTCCTTACCGTATTTACCGCCCATAGGAACAGTGATTGTGATAGAAAATGATAACTTTTCTAAAATAATGATATTATAGGAGTGCTGAGGAGAAACAATATCAAAGTTTAGACCAGAAATAAACTAGGAATTAGCTGGGTGAAATAGAATGTGGAAAATAAGACTGAGGAATTTGGGCATCTTGTTGAGGGCGATGGAATCATGTAAGTTGATTAATTAATTGGCATAATTGATTATAACATTCCAGGCTGCCTATACTAAAAAATTTATTGGGGAGGAGAGGCTAGTAGATCAGTGGAAGACTTTTGCAGGTTTTAAGTGACATTAGATAGTATTCTAATGGTACGGGGCAGGAAGGTTCAGAACAGGGGCAGGATGGCAGAAATCAAGGTTGATCTAGAGGACAAAGTCAGGAATCCTGGGTGAGATGGGATACAAAGATACAGGGGGTGTACCCAGGTCTCTGTTTTGAATAATTAGCTAGATGTTAGGTACCACTCATCAAAGGAAGGGCCACAGGAGAAGGAACAGGTTTGCAGGAAGACGGTGAGTTCAGCTGCCTTTGGTGTATCCATCCCCAGGGAGCAGGGATGCATTGACTCTAGAGCTCAAAGAAAAGAGTGGCTGGAAGATTGGGAAAATGTGAGTCACCAGCATTTTGTATGCAGATTGTCTGTGAAAAGATGGGAGTAAAGGAGGCGATTTGGGGTGAGGGAAAAGAGAGCCAAATACAGAACCCTGGGGAATAGTGTACTAGGTACTTTCAGTATTCTTTCAAGGAAGAAAACTCTAGGTATGAATTGTGACTGTTCCTTGTTTTCATGATCTAACAAGTACATATTTGTTGGATGAATTTTTACAAAATTGCATTTGAATTCTACATATTCAGATATGAAGATGAAATGTAAATACATTGTTCACTCAGACAGCTTTTCCTGGAACCGTGTAGGCCGGTGACATGATTCTGTTTCAACAGGGATTAGAGGAGCCTTTTAGTTTGTCCTGACACAATCTGTGCCTGCTCTAATGTCTTCTGTTAACCTACTTCTCAGCTCAGCCGCAGATGCAGCCAGCCAGGCGGATCTCCTTCTCTGTCAGCATCTCTCCGCTCCTCCTTAAGTCTAAAACTCTATTTTCTCTTGGCTCTTCTTATTCCAGTGATGAGGAGGAGGAGTTGCATAGTAAGTAAGCAGCTTTGGTGTCCACTGACTGTCCTTCAAGGTCTCACCACTGAGAAAAGGCTGTAGGCTTGAAACTAAGGAGTTGTTGGGGACTTTCCTCCCCTTGCATGCCATCCTTCATAAATCTTTTGTCTTTATGCTTGGCTATGGAATGATTTGGATAGTAAACCTCTGCCTTCTGTATACTACTAACACTGGTTAATCCAATGCCTCCTGATTCTGGGGCACAAAATATGTAATATCTTTCCAGACGCAGATACCTTCAGAGGCATAAGGGACTGTGTTCTCATCCCAAAGTTAAATAATAAAATTATAATTTTTTTTCATTTTATGAAACTAATACTGTGAATTTAAGACAATTACAGTATTCACATTATTGGGTACTCTAAGCCCCTACCACTTGCTGACCCTAAGTTGCAGCAATATTTAAGTCTTGTTCAGGCTGGCATTTTTACATTATTCTTAAAGGGAAATGCTTTAGGCACAGTTTAGTCAATCTGGTTTTGAATGGAAGTCTATTTTTTTTTTTACTATTAAAAGATATTTGACAAGTAGACACAAAATCACATTATAAGGAGGAAAGTTGTGAAAATCCACTTCAACTTTCAGTGTTCAAAAATTCTCAAAAGCCTTTCATGTCAAAGTATGAGAAGTAGCTGGGTCATGACAAATAACCCAAAATCCTCATAGTAATTCTTGTATCACCAATACAGAACTATAATCTCATAATAGTGGTGATCACTCAGTTAATCCAACATGGTAGAATCCTAAAAACATTGAAGCTTGAAGAACCCTTTGAATCAGATATCTACAGTTTCTCAAAATGTGTTCCTTAAACTGTGAAATGCTAATAAGAATTAATGTGGTGGAGTTGGTTCGTGGCCAGATGAACTGAGGAAACTCTGGGTTCGGTAGGTTTAAAATGCTACTGTGTTGGATTTCCAGGACAGTGTTAGATATGTTGCATTTCCCAAATGAACGTGGAAACCACAATACATGTAGGACTATATGTAACTTTCCATGAAATTAGTGTTGCATGGAGCACGCTTTAAAAACGATTGACCATGTCCATCCAGTGGTTCAACTAGAAGTCCTCAGATGTAGTGTGATAGGTCTGTATGTTATATTGTGCCTTAAAAAAAAATCTGGTTAAAATGTATTACTTACCTGCAGTTATTTTTATGTGCTAACTTTAAGTCTAATTTTGTCATGGAAATAAAATTGATTGCTTCATACCCTTAGGTGCTCTGGAAATGTGGTGACACTTCTAAGAATTTCAGATGTAGTAAGTGGATCGATCACTGTTTTCAGAGCCACATCTAAAAAGATCATAGTAACCGAACAAAAATTTTTTCCTCTGTTAAAAAAAATTGGAAATCCTTGTAGGAGTTAGAGATTCTCCTAATACTCGGCCGCATATTTGTTTAATATATTGCACAGAAATCTACAGGGATTTATTCTTGGCCAGTCTTTATGTTGGTTGGTATTTTCTGCATTACAAATTTCATTTTTATTTTGTTCATATTACTAAGGTGGTAACTTAACGGGTAATTGCTTCAAGTACCCCAGAATCCTGGCACCTGCGGAAATTTAATGCTGCTTGTATCATTGAAGGATCCTTGGGTGGACACTATTTTCAAGCCACTAATTTAACCACCCACTTGTTTTTTTGTTTTTTTTTTTTTAATTTCTTTTTGTTTTTACGTAAACTGAGGCTGCATGAGGTTAAAATGCTGATAATTTTCACACCTAGATGGTGTAGAACTAGGAGATAGATCCTAGGTATTCTTCCTCTGCTGATCTTTCTCCTTCACCTGGTGGCTGTTACTATACATCGTAAGTGAAATAAAGAATCCCAAATAGGGGAAAGGATAAAATATGGAAGGCAAACTTTATTTTTATTAAATCATCTATCCATACATTTCTATCTATGAATACATTTGGAAGGCAAACTTTTGAAGACTTACTCATTTTAAAGTTTTCTTATGTGTACCGCTGCCTGTTGGCAATTTAAATTCCTTGGTAATTACTACAGTTTTATGTTGCTGTTGAGAATCTAGAACAGAAAAGGGAGTCAGAGTTCCAACTGTTGGTAATCTGGTTGTAGAACATCTTCAAATCCTTATTGAAGGATTGAGGTTGAAGTTTGGCTAACAGTGATGTCAGAAATCTTAGAAGCCAATTTGAGGAGAATGGGCACGTTTTGTCCAATCATACCAGTAGTTACACAATGCATCCTTTGTTGACCTGGAATATACAGAAATTATCTCTATACTTGATCTCCTAGAAAATGAAAACTGTTTATCATTGTGTGATTGAGGCCTTGCTCTCATCTAAGTCGTCAGCACTTTAAACTGTATCAACATGTGGTAGATCAAAATAACGATAGCATTCCTTCTGGTTGTCCTGCTCCTGCCCTGCTATCTGATCTAGTCTTCGAGTTTTAATGACCTGCTTCAGTTTTGATCTGATAGTTACGGAAAGAAGAAGAATTCATGTGCCTTGTTCATCTTTTCACTGTTAACCTGGAAAAGACCTTGCCATGTGTTTTATCTCCTTATTTCACAGATGAAGAAATGAAACCAGAAGGCCCCGTCTCAAATGAGTGATAGGGCCAAGACTCGATAAACCAGCTGTCACACCCCTTCCTGCTGGCTAATCTGTTTCTAGGAATTTTCAGGAAAATATCAGATTAGCTAGATTTTAGTATAGAAATATATGAAAGCAGAATTAACAGTGACAAAACATGACATTTAATTTGCTATTTTTGTATTTTTGTATTCTTCCTGTGACATCATCTCAGAAAGATCACCTTTGGAAACCAAACATTGATAAGGACAGGAATTAAAAATTCATGATGTAGGCTTAAGCATTAGAAAAGAAATGATTTGGGGTTTATTTCCAATTATTGAATCCTGGATTAAATTGTTTTCTTTGGGGGAAATTCACTCCCTATTGCTGTGTATTTCTAGTTCTAATATCACAGTTTCAAGTTTAATCTTTCCTCCTTCCAGACCTGTAGAAGGAGGCACCATGCACTGACTTTCAAACGCTGTTTCTGCTGTAGCTGTGTTGTTGTAAATATTTTAATATTTTACCTGTCATCAGGGTAAAGTCCTTTTGTTCTAACTTCTGCATTTTTTTGTTTTCTAGATTCTCGGCCTTTCCACACCACCAGTGCTAATCTGACTGAGAGGTACTATTCTATTCTTTTGTTACTCCTTTTCCTGAGATAAAATTAGGAACTTTTCAATCTCTGAATGGCATTTAATTAAGTAAACTAAGTATATTGAACTCATTGAGTTCTTTCTTTAGTGATAAATTTGGAATGATAATTAGGAGTGGTTTTCTAATGTAGGCTGTCTTTTTAAATTAGTATCTTTTATTTACATTTATTAATGTGATGATTATGCAAGCTTTGCTTATGGGGATTTTTATTTCCTAAGTAACATTTTGTTTCATAATTAGTATGTATACATACATATATAAAAGTCCATGTATTGTTATTACCAAGTGAATGAATTGGTTCTTTATTTGACAGTAGGCAAAAGATTTGTATTCCCACTCATGCTTTTCTTTTTTTGTAACTGTGTATTTTGATATTTCTCTTTTCATGTTCATGAGATTTGAGTCCTCTAAGCAAGACTGGGGTTCAGATTGTTGCTCTGCAGTTTTTTTAAGTGTCCTGCCTTTTCACAAAGGCGTGAGATGTGACTGTGATTCAGAACCCTCAGAGGGGGCGCTGCTGTTTGTACGGCCTTCAAATCGAATCCATTTTTGCTCTTTTCTAAAACAGTGGTTTTCTTTTCTTCCTTTGCTTTTTGTTTGTTTTTTAGAGAGTCTCACTCTGATACCCGGGTTAGAGTGCCATGGCCTCTGCCTGGCTAACAGCAACCTCAGACTCCTGGGTTCAAGCAATCCTTCTGCCTCAGCCTTCCAAGTAGCTGGGACTGCTGGCTCAAGTCAAGCAGTCTGCCCACCTCAGCCTCCCAGAGTTACTAGGATTATAGGCGTGAATCACTGCACCTGGCCTAGAGCAGTGGTTTTCGTACCAGTTCCTTTTTGTCTTAAAAACAGACTACTTTGTTTTGTGAACAACACTTATGTGTTACTGGACTTAAACCTGTGTCTACTCTTCCTGTCCTCTCGCAGAGTTCCTACAGGCAAACACTGCGGTTCTCTGGGGAAGTTCTAAAATAACTGAGACATCTAAGCAAACTAGTATATAAAAGGGTATCTTTTCTATATTATGAATAATTTACTCAGTGCCCAGCATTCTTATAGACAATTAATCATTGCAAATTTTCTAAGTTCAAAATACATCCATCTCAGGTAGTGTTAGATTTTATGTAGGCTTCCTAAACAAGTAGATCAGTAATCCGGATCTGTGTAGAACCCCTAAAATGGACCTTCCCACACTCTGTCTCAATTCTGCCCTCTGTTCAGTGTATTTCTTCCTAAAATTGTGCATGGCTGCATGGACCAGTCCACAGTCTTGATTGTCCATTGTCCCAAAAGTTAGAAAAGATATGTAGTCTCTACTGTTAAAAATCTGGATGTACAGTCATAAGAGTCCTTGGTTTGCAGCCTTATGTTAATGAGTACCCTCTTTTTTAATACATATCTGGATTTCCTTTCAAGTACCTATTTGTTGCAAAGAAGTTGCATATTGAGTGTTCTTTTAGATTGAGAAATTTCTGAATCCTAGCACTCTGGGAGGCTGAGGTGGGCGGATTGCTTGAGCTCGGAGTTCAGAGACCAGCTTAAGCAAGAGCGAGCCCCTGTCTTTACTCAAAATAGAAAAGCTAGCTGAGCATAGTGGTGGGCACCTGTAATGCTAGGTATCTGGGAGGCTGAGGCAGAAGGATTGCTCAAGCCCAAGAGTTTTAGGTTGTTGTGAGTTAAGATGCCACAGCACTCTACCTAGGGTGACAGAGTGTCTCAAAAAAAAAAAAAGAAAGAAAGAAAGAAAGAAATTTCTGATAAAGTAATTAAATGAATAATTGACAGGCTCTTTTTAAGATCAGATCACTCAAAATCCATAGTTAAACCATAAATGGTGGGTAAAAGAACTTAGCCTGGTGTTGACAACTTCTGACCACCTTGTATTATGCTTGCCATTTACCTCCTGTAGTTTAGTTTAAAAAAAAAAAAGAAAGAAAACTTTCTTCTTGTTTTTTAGCATAACAGAAGAGAACTTCAATTTCCTGCCACAAAGCCCCTCCAAGAAAGATTTTGAAGGGAAGAGTGGAACAAAAGTCAGTCGTACGTTCAGCTACATCAGGAATAAAATGTCCAGCAGTAAGAAGAGCAAAGTAAGTGTCCCAGTGGGCATCTCTGTGTGGCCACCTTAGTTGGTCATTAGCTGCATCCTGTCACAGCTTGCACATCCCAGAACTAACTGGATGATGGAGATGCCAATGGACATAAATACAGGGGTACCCTCTGAAGTAGCCTAATATCTGAAGAAAAATAGTGACAAGAGGCCCTACCACTGTACTGAGATTGACTGTGTGCCCAGAGCTCCCTGTATGTCATCTCGTGTACTGTTTTCAGTGACCCTGTCAGGTAGGTGTTACCTCCCTGTTTACCACTGCTGAGATTGACTGTGTGCCCAGAGCTCCCCGTGTATTATCAGGTAATGGTTCATTTACCCTGTGAAGTAGGTGTGACCTCTTTGTTCAGGAGGAGGCACCTCGTCTGAGGTTGTGGCCTTAATATGAAGAAGAGAGTCAAACCCTAATTTTTGGTTTCAAATCCCATACTCTCTACCACATTGCTTAAATTAGGAAATCAGATTTAAAGTGCAAACTGCAACACAAGGATATTATGCCAAGATCAGGAGATTAAAAATATTTATATTTGGGTTTAGGGGGAAGAAAAATTATCTTGCAGAAAAGTATGAGAACTTCTAAGACTAATTTAATTCCTAGATCTTTTTCTAATTAGGAACATTTGGAATATATTCTCTTTAGTGCTTGAGAATTTAAATTATTTAACTTATTTTTATCTAGTTATTTTTCACATAATCATTATAGGAATCTTCAAAACATAAACCTAAAAAATTAAAATCTCGGGCGGCGTCTATGGCTCACAGGAGTAGGGCGCCAGCCCCATGTACCAGAGGTGGTGGGTTCAAACCCGGCCCCAGCCAAAAAACCTGCCAAAAAAAAAAAAAATTTACAAACAATCTCCTGTAATAACCCCACATAGAGATAACTACTCTTAATGTTTTGGTGTGTATATTTCCAGCATTTTTTTCAAAAACAGAAAAGAAGTTAACTTTCTTACCCTGATTCCATTTCAAACCCATGGGTAAACACTTTCTGCCTCTAACTTTTCCACACCACGTTCACCTAAAAGTAAACGTTCAGCAAAAAAGTAAATAAAAATGTAAGCTCCATTAAGGAGCTCTTGCAAGGAATCCTGTTACATGTTGGTGTGTATTTGTGAGTGTGCATGTAGTGTATTCATACATGTGCAAACAGATACGTACAAGCATATCGGAAGTAAAGGAATAAACCTTAAGAGAATGATCAAGAATATTGCTCTATGAGGCTTCTTTTCCCTACAAAACAGAGTGCCCCGAGCTCTCGAGGCCTCAATTTAAAGGGGATGGTGGTGATGGTGGAAGTACAGGAAGCATATTTACCAAGTTTTTAAAGTGAAATCTCTCATTGAGCAAGTACTAAATTTGACCATCATGAGAGGAATTTTTCCACAGAAACCTGCCACCAGAATTGTCCTCTTCTTTTCTCCTAAGTGCAGAGTGTTGAGTAAGTGGGCAGCCAGGGAGAGATGCAGAGTCTAGCCAGTTTTCCTGGCATAATCACACAGTTTATATTAATCTCGTACTTAGCCTTGTTTTATAATTGCTAAAAAAAAAAAAAAAAAAAAGAAGGCCAAGGAAGGTAGAAAACATTATCAGTATTCTACATGTTGGCAGCAAAGCTTAAAATAGAGCCTTGTCTGTTTTACTAACCACTGCTGGCTTGGACACAAGTTGGCATCAGTGAAAGAAAATCCCCTGGGACAGATCACTGTAAATTAGCAAAGTGTTACTGAGTGACTTGTATAGTCTTTGCATTCCCATAGGTGCTGGTAAGCACCTAAAAGAACAAAAGCTCATGGTCTGAACCTGGAAAAAGTTTATCATCTGTGGATTTCAGAATACTTTCATTTTTTTATTTTGTTTTTAAATTATGGAATCTGTCTTTAAGGAAGTTCTTAATTGGAAAACCAATAAATAAGTGGAGATTTCTTTTTCTATTTCTTCACTGACTTGGATTTTTAAGGCAGCACAGTTCACACCACTGATCTCATTAAAGAGGTAATACAAACAGACGTTGAATAAAAGACACCGCACGCCAAGTTTAGAAACTGGAAGCTGAGTTTCATCCCAGAGGCCGGGCACGGTGGCTCACACCTGGCATCCCAGCACTTGGGAGGCCAAGGTGGGTGGATTGCCTGAGCTCATGGGTTTGAGGCCAGCCTGAGCTAGAGGAAGACCTCGTCTCTAGAAATAGCCAGGCCTTGTGGTGGGCGCCTTTAGTCCCAGCTGTTTGGGAGGCTGAGGGAAGAGAATCACTTGAGCCCAGGAGTTTGAGGTTGCTGTGAGCTGTGACACTATGGCACTCTACCGAGGGTGACAAGGTGAGACTGTCTCAAAAAATAAAAACGTTTCATCCCAGCCTCCTTGTTTTGTAAACTGAAATACAGAGAAGTGTGCTTTCAGTCACATCACCTCCTGTGGTCCGACTTTGAGCAAGTATGCTTAGTCTTCTTCAAAATCTATTACCAAATGGTATAGTTTTTTCCTTTTCTTTTAAACTTTTAAAGTCTCAAAGGCCTATAGTTTGCTGGGAGAGAATGAAGAGAATAGGACTGGAGAAAAGTACGTAATTTGTGTTGAGAGTTAAATCTTTCATCACTAGTGGAAACTTGACCTTTTGCTTCTGATCATCTCCTTTGCCAAAATGACAACACTCTTTTGCAATTGGGATTGATTCCTCTTTCAGACTTGGCTTTAAGATTTGATTTTTAGAGGCTGTGTTTCTTTAACAGTGGAAACTCAAACAAGTCTGTAACCCTGGATTGCAGTCCATTTTCCATTGTCAGGTGTTTGGAGTGTCCTAGTGGTCAAATATACTTAGAAGTCACCTTTTGTAGTTGTTACTGGCTAACTTTTAAGTAAGATTGTTATAGAACTTCCAAGAAAATAGGCTGGCTTTTGTCACTGTACCAAAAGATAAGAAGAAACAGAGGAAATCGTGAAGCAGTTCATTTTATGTTAAGTTACATTAAGCATCTGTCTTAATATGCTGTGCATTCACAGTAAGGACTCTACCATACAGAAATGTTTATTTTCTAAGTGATAAAGCCAAAATAAATAAATGTTACATGTTCTTAGCATGATGATACTAACATTGATCTTTTTAACTGTTAAATGTCACTTCTCAAGAATGTTAAAAAGTTGAAAGTGCTACTATGGAGGTTAACATTTATTTTTCGTGAAAATAAGTTTTCAGGTCTTTTATTTTTTAATTAGATGCTATGACAGACCATCAGATTTACTTGTTTTATTAATCTATGTAATGTAACCATGCCTACTTCTTTTGAAGGAAAAATTTAAGCATTTACTGAATATAGTATTAAAATACCACTTGTAATTCAGAATAAAGTAAGGATAGATTGGAAATTTCTGCCTTTTTAAATGTATGATATGTATATTTATATAAAAATAGCTGTAGGTACCGTATATTACATATTGCATTCAATATGTTACAACATACATTACATTACCACATAATTCAGTATGTTAAATTGTGATTATAAACTATTCTTAAATAATGTTCAAAAGAGCCAAAAATCAGCCAGTAGTCATTTTTCACATTCCTGGGAGGGTAACATACTTTGCCTGTAGCACAGAGGTTTTATATATAAATTTGAGACATTGACTTACGGATACCTCATGTTTCCGTTTGAGAATTACCAATAACCAAGGTAAGTTATAAGGTAAATACATCAGATTTTTCTTTGGAGGGAGCACTAAACAGGAAGCAAAACAGGAAGACTGGCAGTTTCTGCTTTTCTCTTAGTGTCTTTGAGAGCGAGTGGTTTCCTGCTAAGTAAGTTTGCTTGTTACAGAATATTTTAAGTACTCATATGCATAATGTTTAACTCATAAGGGAGGTGGAGTGACCGTCTTTAAACAATTTTGTTATACTGGTGGGAATTTTCCTCCTAAACTGTCCTTTTTGTAGACAAATAGGAGATGGTTAGGAACGTTTTAGATCCTTTATTTGACTTGGGGTGGTATTTGTGGTGTAAGAGTTAAATTCTACACAGCTGTTAATATGCTACATGACTTTTAACAGGACATTAAGCCCCAACTCCTAGCTCCTAGGTTCTAAATGTAAAAAGGCTTACACCCATCAGCCTCTGAAAGGTCCTACCAGAGCAAAATAGAGTTTGCAAAGATTTAAGTCCGTGTTAGATGTTACGATCTCTTCCTTGTTTCATTAAATATCTTCAGTGTGACGGTTGTGTAATTACATCATGTTTTCCCAGTTGTCTAGAGTATTCTGATTTTTTAAAAAAATTATAATTACTAATCTAAAAGAGGAAGGTTTAAGAAAGCAAAGAATAATTTTTTTCATAGTATCTTAGTATAGTGATTGTCTGCATCTTTCCCTTTTAAATACTGTTAGCTTACGTTTCCCCAGCACACAAAGCATTTTGGCATTTGTTTAAATATGGAAAAATGGAACCGCAGAAAACAGCTGGTCATCACTTTACACAGGCAACTTCACTACAGAGTTTTCTCCTGAAGCTCACTGCTCTTTTATAAAATCAGTCTGTTTTTAAATAGATACATGTTCCTTAGCTGCTTATGTTAAAAACGTAGCCTCAAAAGATTGCTAGAGTTCCCATATTGCAAATTAAGCACTATCCCACACACTGTATTTTGGGGTGTGCGTTTGTTTCATTTCCTGTGTCCTTTGTCACCACAGTTACAGGCTTTACCAGCAGCATTCAAATAGTTAAGACTGTCGTAAGGAAACAGCCTCAGCCCTCCCTCCTTCCCTTTCTCAACCAGTCTCTGGCTTCCTCTTACCGTTTCGCTAATGGGGTTTTGGCTAATGGCAACTCGGAGCTGCTGAGCTCTGCCTGGCTGGCATGAGCCCTTCCTTCTCTGAGAGCACATTTCCTGGCATGGGGGTTGAATCATGTCTATAAAATGGGGTCGGTTTCATGAAGCTCCCTTCATAACAGTGAGATTCATGGGACCAAAACATGGGGAGGTAAGAGCCTGACTTTAAAGCCCTAAATTCTAATAAACACAGAAGGAGATGGTAGAATTGTTTTGCTTTTATCTTAGGGAGAACTAATTTGGGTTGTTGCAAAGGATCAGGAAATTATTGCTCACTCAGATTTGAAGAGCATTGTAAGGCTTGAGAGAATAAGCTAGTTGCCATTGATTTTTTTTTTTTAAACTACTGGAATATGCGTTAGCTTTCCTGAGCAAAAAAAAATTAGATACTTTTAGTTTAATGTTTTATGCATGGAGAATCCTTTAGCAAGATTTATTTAAAATTACTTGATAAACTCAAATTTTGTTAATGATTTTATGTGCTTTCGTTTTAGTCAAGTTTTAAGTACTTTAGCAGTTTTGACTTTTCACTCAGAACAGTTTCCTGTTTTGTAAAGTGAGGTAGTTTGTTCTCCCTTACCGTCCTGTTATTTTCTGTAGTTCAAAATTACAGCATTTTGGCTCTTAGAGTTTCATTGTATGTATTCTGTTAACAAAGGTTTTCACCTGAATCACGGATGTGGCAGGTACTTACTATTTGAGTATAGTGGAGGGGTTCTGAACAGAAGGTCCGAAGCCCTGCGTTCCATTTTGACTGTGCTGATCATTTGCTGTGTGACCTTTTGCATGTCAGTGAACCTCTCTAGTCCTTGGCCGTATAGCATAGTGAATGTGAGCTGAGCTTTATCGCCACCCAGCTCTGGACCTAATTCCAGCTTGGGCAATTACTGACATGTAACTTCAAATACATTATTAAACATTTCTAAGCATCTTCAGATATAAAATGGAGGTACTAACCAGTACTTAATTCATTCGTTGTAAACAAATGGATATGAATTATTACAACACTTGGCATACAGTAATTCTTCAGAATTTCAGCTGTTATCGTTATCCTCTTGATGGTGAAATGGGAAGCATAATGCTCACCCTTCAGATTTATTGAATCAGAGGACATTATGTAGAGAGCATTATTCAAAATGTTCGCCATTTAGTAGTTGTCATGATGGCTGACTTTGGAATACCCATTTTTCTGGGTATTCTTCCCGTTTTCTGTGTTCTTTTTAGGTCATAATAGTTTGTGGCAGTATGTGAAACTCCTACTCCTCAGTCTTGATTAGCTAGCCACGTACTCTACCAGGCAATGCTTCCCAAATACCACTTATGGAGCACCTGGGGATGCCCACACCGTCCCTGCCTCCTGAGGACAGTGACCACCTGAAATGTCCCTGGCAGTTGTAGAGTACATTTTATTAAGAATTTAGCACTCATCAGTACTTCTTCAAGTTTTCAAGGTTTAAATTCCTTCTCATTCTTCTTCATGACTGTATGAGCTTTGGTAACAACCCTTCTTAGGTCGAGGCTTATGTTATATGAAAGTCTTCTGCTTTTAGGCTGTCTCTGAAGCATTTCTGACACTCCTGTGCCCTTCAGATGATGTAACCAGGGTAATCTGGTGCTTCGGGCTCCTGACTCCCCAGTACCTTGATCCCCCCCTGCACCTGGTGTCTCGTTTGCCATTGTCCCCTTAGTTTTGTACATGGCTCTGCTGTAGTCTGCTCAGTCAGTAGAAAGTGTCTGGAGAGTTGCTGGGTGCATACTGAAAATTAGCTGAATCTCCCGTTTCTGCTTCCTTCTCTGACATGTGAGGGGAGATAACAGGGATACATGGGAGCTTCCAGAGCAGATCAGAGAGCAGGTCTTGGGAAGCCTTGTCTTTCCAAACTGGAGACACGGTGCCTGTTTTTCCTTTTCTCCTGGGACCTCCGGTGGAGGAGTAAGCAGATAGAGCTTGGGACTTCCTTTTTCTGCAAGGCCGTTTTCTTAAGAAATGACCCCTCTGGCAACCAGATTGAGGGGCACCAGTGGTTTTGAGAAAGGCCATTAACCAGCCCTCTCCTCTCATCGCTGTACCTGCCTGCCCTCTCCTCTCCTCTCCTGTCCACACCCCAGCTGTCCTGTCTTCTCCTCTCTCGTGCCCTCCTCTCATCTCCGTGCCCACCTGTCCCCTCCCCTCCCCTCCTGGCTTCTCCGTTGTAGACCACTATCTTTTTGCTGCTCCCAGTTACTTTTGTCCTCCCTTCTCAAATCAAAATTTCCTTCCCTTTATTTAAGCAATACATTTATATGTTGGGATAGGATAGTATAAGCTAATGAAACTCATTTTTAGTAAGTTATGAATAATTATTACAACCATTGCTAAGTGTTACTGTATATTTAACTATCGTGTTCGGCTATGTGCAGAAGGCTTCACGTGTATTGTCCCACCTAATATTTTTTAAAAACATTGGCATAGGTGCCTTTGTTATTATTCCTACTATACCAATGAGGAGACTGAGGCTCAGAGAAATAATTTAGCCAAGATCACAGTGGCAAGTAGTGGCAGTCCAGTGGAGATTTGAACCCAGGTCTGGTGCCATTACCCATCATAACATCCGAGTTAGTGAAAACTGAAGATAGACCTGTGCGGGTATTTGACTAGGGGCCATTGTACAGGAGGAAACGTCGCAGATAACCCTTACTTGGAGATGTGTGGTTGGTGTGAGGAAGTCAGGGGAGCCTCAGTCATCTTCCTTCTCCCTGGAACTGACCCCACAATTGGTGCCATCCTTTCTGCTGTGCCCTGCCTAAAGCTGCCCCTAAACTCATTGCTTTCTAAAGAAGTTCCTCCTTTCAGAAAGCTCTTCCCAATGTTAGTCCTTGGGCACTGTGTCTATCAGTAAAAACAACCACAGAATAAGGCACCATCAGAACAGTGCAATTTGCCCAGTTCCCTCTGATTTTCTAATGTAGCTTGCTTGCTAACAACTTAATTTTTAAAATTATGCCCAGACCACTGTTCTTCACTTTTGCCCCAAACACTCACCAGCCCACATGCCATCTGGGTGCCCAGGTAAGGGGAATGTTTTCCAATGTTCAAGTAACTATTGATTCTTTTCTTTGGCAGGAAAAGGAAAAAGAGAAAGAGAAAACTAAGGAGAAGGAGAAAGATTCTAAAGAGAAGGAGAAAGACAAGAAGACTCTCAACGGACATACTTTCAGTTCCATTCCTGTCGTGGGTCCTATCAGCTGTGGCCAGTGCATGAAGCCGTTCACCAGCAAAGACGCCTACACTTGTGCAAGTAAGAGACGCACTTCTTACTCTCGTAAAATGGAACTCTCCTGGCTCAGGCTCATTTCTGATTTCCTCTCCATTCCACCACTTATCTGTTCCTCATTTATGTGGAGAAGTAACCCTTTTAATATTTTTCTTTAAACATTGAAGAAATAAAGTGTAGGTATACATATGTCTCATACAGCGGGGATATTTTTTCATTTGTTTTGTTTTTTTAGAGTTACTCTCTAGAGAGTGCCATGGCCTTAGCCTAGCTCACAGCAGCCTCAAACTCTTGGGTTCAAGTAATCCTCCTGCCTCAGCCTCCCCAGTAGCTGCGACTATAGGTACTTGCTACAATATCTGCCTAATTTTTCTATTTTTAATAGAGACAGGGTCTCACTCTTGGCTCGGGCTGGTTTTGAATTCCTGAGCTCAAGCAATCCTGGCCTCCCAGAGTACTGGGATTACAAGGATGAGCCCCTGTACCAGGCCCAGCCTGTATTTTTTTCAGATTGCCACAATTTCAAATATAGGCAAGTCACTGAGTTAGGACTGTTCAACTTTTGATTTTTTGACCGTATAATAATTTGAAAGTGATTAATTGTACTTTGAGTACCCATGTAGCCCTTCTGTTTTTCACTATTAAGACAATATTCAGTAAGTTACGTGAGCTGTTCAACACTTTATTGTCAAAAAAGCTTTGTGTTAGATGAATTTGCCCAACTGTAGGCTAATGTAAGCATTCTGTTCATGTTTAAGGGAGGCTAAGCTAAGCTCCAGATGTTTGGTAGGTTGGGTATATTAAATGCATTTTTGACTTAACTGTCAACCTAGGGTGGATTTTCTCTGGTTGTAATCCCTTCATAAGTTGGGGCATTATCTGCCCTCTCTTCTGTGGTCTGGGAACCATTCCGTATCACAGAAGTCTGTGTCAGCATCAAAACTATCCCTAGCCTCAAACCCTGAAGCTATTCAGCAGCTCCTTGTTGGTCATATTATATACTTGTTTTTTGTTCTAGTCCTTGGTGTGTGCCTCAGCCATTTACCAGTGTTGGTCCATGGTGGCCGCCCAGGGAGAGCGCCTTGCCATGGTGCCTTGCTGTGATAAGATGCTCTCAGGCAAGAGTTGGGTAACTTTTCCTGTACAGGGCCAGATAACAAATATCTTAGGCTTTGTGGGCCACATGGTCTCTGTCACATCTACCAAATGCTGCAGCAGCAATGCAGAAGTGGCCATAGTGATACATGAACCAGTGAGCATGACTATATTCCAATAGGACTTTATTTGTAGACATTGAAATTTGAATTTCATGTAATTTGTTGGTGTCGTATAATATTAATCTTTTTATTTAAAATGTAAAAGCTATTTATTACTCATGGGCTGTCTGAAAATATAGTCTGTAGCCTAATTTGCAAATTCCTGCTTCCAAGGCAGTACATCTCAAAATTTGTCATTGTACATATAGAAAGTAATACTATTTGTAGAGGATTGCTTGGGGTCAAAGGTGACCAGTCTGGGATCCCAAGCCCATCCCAGACACCCAGAAGGCTGGGATGGCTAGCATCACGTTATACCTCTGACCAGTTCAGACAAAACAGTGACTACTCCAGACTCCAAGGAGCAAGTCTCAGACTGTGACGTCAGGGTATCCTTTTTTCAGTCATTTGTGTTGCCCAAGGAATTTCTTACTAAAAATAGTTGACTTAACTGAAATTTGAAATTTTTCTAAGTTCATTTGGGCAGATTTAAAGTTATTTCTGTAGTGATTTCCACTCGCTTCCTTAAATAGAAGAGAGGGTGTGTAGTTATAGCTAATACATATTCCACACCCTGTCCTGTCGATGCTGCCATTGTTGTCACTTTTACAAATGGCTGTATCATGTACATCCTTGGAACATGATTCTCCTGGATGTGATGCCCCTGAAAGAGTCTACAACCCTATTTGTTTTACTATTTAAAAAAAACAAGAAAACCAGAGGAACACATTTCTAAGAGGGACTTTGCCTGACAAATGCAGTTAGTGTAACCTGGATCTTTGTACCCTCAATCCCCAACAATGAAATAAATAAATAATTTTTTAATAAAACCCAGGGGAGCTCTGTAAATCTTTATGCATCTCTGTGGGCAGAGATGACACGTATGAATGTCATCCTTCATGTGTGACTTAACCAGAAAACTGAGAGCTGCTACCACATAGTAACAGTTTCACGTGACCTTTAGGAAACAAGCAACTGTCTCTGTCCAGTGTCCCTCCAGTGTGGATTTGTTTTGTTTGTTTTTTATTTTTTGATCACACTCTTTTCTAGGATACCAACTGAATGTCTGCCGTGTATTTTTTTAGCCATTGGACACAGCTTCTCAATGCTGAAGTACCATAGTTGCCTACTAGTCCCCAAGCACTGTTAGCATGTTCATCTATCATTAAAACATTTTTAGCATACTCACAGTGTGTACATGGATGTACATACAAAACATAAAAATTACGCATGAGTAAAATTACAAGGAGCTCATTCTAAGAATAAGAGGAGTCTCAACATTTGTCATTGTTTCCTGTTTAGCTATTAGCATAATTAAGATTGTCTTTGATCCACGGCTGCCTTGAAGGAATTTGCATGTTTCTTTTTCATTTTGTTTCAGTTGAAACCAGGTATATAGGGGTGAGCATGAAGTTCATGTGCATTTGCACACACCCACTTGATGACTGCCCTATTCATTCATTACAACATGCTAAAAGTAAGCAAGTGAAAAGGGCTCCTCCAAAAGGAACTTACCTTACCCCATCAAGAAACTTCTCATATTAATTCCATTTATTTTTTAAGTTAAGAAGTCAATTTAAGTTATAAAATTTTTACCTTATATTCCAAGGCATCATTTTATTCATCCCTCCCTGTAAAGTGCTTGTTCTCTTCTCCTTTGGGGGGGGGGGGCACTTAGTCTTAGAAAAACAGGAAGTGGCCATATTTTCTGACTTGCAGTCTGAATTTTATACCCAAGGACTTGCATCAATAAGCAGAACGGATACCTGCTTTCTGCTATGCAATAAAAAAAGGCTAGATAAAAATATATGTACTTACATATTTTTTCTTTTTGAGGCAGAGTCTCACTCTGTTGCCCTTGGTTGAGTACTGTGGTGTCGTAGCTCATAGCAACCTCAAACTCATTGGGCTCAAGTGATCCTCTTGCCTTAGCTTCCCATCTAGCTGAGATTACACGCATCTGCCACAGCACCCAGGTAACTTTTTCTATTTTTATTAGAGATGAGGTCTCAGCTCATGCAATTCACCTGTCTTAGCACCCTGCTAGGATTATAAGCATGAGGTACCATTCCTAGCTAAAAAAAAAAAAATATATATACTTAAAAAAATGAATACAGGACTGAACCTGCCAGTAGGGAGATCCCCAAGGGAACTAAAAATCAGAGCAATAAAGAGCATTCCCTTCAACTGGGGATAATTTATGGCCTTGGGTTACATACTGGGAGCTGGATCTGAGACCCATGTCTAAAATCTAGGCTTGCAGGGGTGTCCAACCTGTACCCAGTGGGTCGTTTGCTGATTTTTTGAGGACTCTTTTTTTTTTCCTTATCTGTGATGTCAGATATCATAAAAGTATGCATGAACCTTTTTTCCCCTGCTAATCAGCTTTCATGTTTGTGCATTTAACGTATGGCCCAAGATAATTCTTCTAGTGTGTGGCAAAGGAAAAAAAAGTTGAATACCCCTGATAGAGCTTTTAAGACTAATATCAATGATGAGAAAAGCTGTGCCCACTGGCCTTCAGAAGTAGCAAGGAGGCTTGGCACCTGTGGCTCAGGAGGCTAAGGCGCCAGCCGCATACACCTGAGCTGGTGGGTTCGAATCCAGCCCGGGCCTGCCAAACAACAATGATGGCTGCAACCAAAAAATGGCTGGGTGTTGTGGCGAGTGCCCGTGGTCCCAGCTACTTGGGAGGCAGAGGCAGGAGACTTGCTTGAGCCCAGGAGTTGGAAGTTGCTGTGAGCTGTGATGCCACAGTACTCTACCCAGGGGGACAGCTTGAGGCTCTGTCTCAAAAAAAAAAAAAAAAAAGAAGCAGCAGCAGCAAGGAAACTTGTGTTCTCCCAGGATCCTGAGTGAGAAATCTGCAACATAGACAAATCTAGGGTCCAGGTTTTTTACAGCACCTATGTATGCTGGAATTCACAAGAGGCTTAATGAAATTCCAGTTTAAGAATGGTGGAACCCTGAGGGGACCCCAGCCATAGCAAATACAGAACTGCTTTGGGTCAAAACAGTTGACAAAACAGTATACCCAGAGTCTAGTGTGGGAGGTAAAAATAGTCCAGCCAAGCTGAGCTCACAATAAAAAGTATGTAGTTACCACATAAGTAAACCACCATGAGGAAGAATCAGCAGAGGCCCAGGCGGGAAGAGATGTTGAAAATTGCTAAAAGGTTAAAATGAATAGAATGTATAATGAAAGAATAGGACATAACAACTAAAGATTCGATTTGAGGCATAACTGAGGTAAAAACTTCAAGAACAGAAAAGTCATTAAAAGGTCTTCATGGAGATTTTTCAAATAATTGAGCATATTGGCCTGACTTGTATTTGTTTATAAAGAAGGAAAATGACTTCTACTCAGTTGACTGCTTTGATAAAGGGAACACTGGGTGCATAGTTAGAAAATATTGATGACTTCACTTCGAATTTACTTTTTAAAACAGACCATAGTCTGCCAACCCCTGGGATAGATCTGTAGGAAAAACAACTCTCTAGGACATTTTGATAAGTTGAAAACATAGTGAATCAAACAGGACGTATAGTCTGATGCCAATTTATGGGAAATAGATAAGTGAACAGTAGTTTATACAGAGATATCTGAAAGGATATATACCAAACTATTCAATAATCTGAAGAAGGAAAAATTAAGAAGAAAGTTGAAGAAGACTTTATTTTTATGCTTGCGTGTTATTTGAATTTTTTAAGAATGTACTTATATGTTATTTGTATGAGAATAATCAAAATGTAACTATTAGACCACTG